AACAAGGCGGTGGAGGCATAATGATCTGGGGTGGTATTATTGGAAAAACATTAGTGGGCCCATGGTGAGTACCAGATGGCATCAAAATGACTGCTGATGCATACATAGCATTTATGAAGGAGCATCTTGAACCGTGGATGAAAAAGCAAAGAGTTGCCTTCAGAAGGGCCAATGTTTTTATGCAAGATAATGCTCCCTCACATGCTGCTCACAAGACTACTGAATATTTGAAACAGTTAGGCTTCGATGGACCTCGAAAAATGAAGTGGTCAGCAAATTCTCCGGATTTTAACCCAATCGAAAACATTTAGAGCATCATGAAGCAAAGACTATATGCCAATGGATGACAATTCAGGAGCAACGCTGAGCTGTGGGAAGCAATTCTTGACATATCTCGCGGCATTACAGCAGATGACATCCTACAATTAACAAATTCTAAGGATCGTCAACTTCTTCAAGTAATTTCAAAACAGGGAAAGCACATTCCCTATTAATTTGTTTAAAACTGTGCCTTTATTTGTATCTGTTATTATTTGTTTGATTATCTTATTTATTAGCTTCTTTTGATCGTAAACATTCACGTGCAACATTAATAAACGTTTTGTTTGCTCAATTCTGGGAATTTGACTAAACCTTTCTAATAAATTGGCATGCTCAAAATCACCGTACTGATAACAAATATGGCCCCAGTTTGTCTACATTGTGCAGATCAGTACAAAAATTTCAGGGATTGCGCAGGTCAGTGTTGGCAACATTGTGTGAAAATTTTGATTGGATGGTTTTTGAAATATTAGAAAAAAGTTATCTTGATAATAATTTGGCACGCAGTGTATATATATATATATATATATATATATATATATATATATATATATATATAAGGAAGGTATACAAATCTGTATATAAGACTCACAGAGGGAAACTGAATGATAAAATAGCTCTAAAGTAACTCATGCTGTACCGCAAAAGTACATGTTTAGACTAATGATGGTTTTTACCAATGGAGTCAACATTTGTTGGACATCTCATACGATAAACTGACTCCATCTTTAAAAAAATTACTAGTCAGAACTTCTGGAAACAAAACCAAAACATATCACTTAGAAGTATTTTTTGTTTATTTTATTGTTCTATTACTCATATAGAGCAGACATTGAACATATTGGAATTTCTTTTTTTGAGTACTCACTATGTAGAGAACCTTTTTTTTTTGTTTTTAATCAGTTCACTCAAAGCAGGTTGGTTGGTTGGTTGGGTTTTATGGCATATCAACCACTGTAGGTCATTTAATGCCAAATTTAGTTTTTATATATATATATATATATATATATATATATATATATGTGTGTGTGTATATATATATATGTGTGTGTATATATATATATATATATATATATATATATATATATATATATATATATATATATATATATATATAGAGGACTTGTAAATGTCTATAAGCTATATAAGTTAGAGTTTATTCGTTTGCACACAGCAAAATCATTCCAGGTATTACTGTCTAGGACAATGATTTCCATTTAGTATAGATAATTTGTTTGCACAATGTTAAAAGGTAGCATATATTAATTACACATCAGACTACATCTTTGATAAAAGACCAATTCTTTTCAGGAAGTTTATTATGACTTGGATCAATTTTTGTAAATAGTTCCTTTGTACTTTTAATGTTGTAGAACTTTCTTCAAATCTGTGTAAGGTTTGTGCATTCTATCAGTATATGTTTTACTGTGTATTGGTTTCCACATGGACATTTAGGAAGAGGCTCCCCTTCTAGTACGAAGGAGTGAGTCATTCTAGTGTGTCCAATGCGTAGCTGAGTAAGGGTGGTTTCTTCTCTTCTTGTACTATTAAGATTCAGTTTCCTTTATTTTAAAGTGGGTTCTATTTGGTCGAGCTTATTGTGGGTATTTTTGTCCCATAGTTGTTGCCATTTTTGAATCATTATTTTCTTGATTTTATGTTTTAGGTCAGTATATGGGATTTAAAAAAAAAAAAACCCAAAACAAAGGAAGCTTTGAGAAATCAGAAGGAAAAAAAAAAACAACTTTGTCGAGAAATTCAAATAAAGTCCTATTCAATGATCATGAAATTATAAAACTCTTTGTGTCTTTTCGATGCTATTTCAAAACGTGATTTCACCCAAAGAAGGGTAGGAATGCAACTTGTACGTAGGAGATTATGGAGAGTGAAAGTGAGAGAAAAGACTGGGTATAGGTGGGGATTGAGGAAATGATAAAAGATGAACAGGGTTCAAGACAACAGAAGATGGTGATTGACACTGCATTTAAATTTTTGAAGATTGTAGTTATCAGGAAAGCAAGTAAATGGGAAGAAGTTCCACTGTGAGGAAGTGTGAGAAAAGAAACTGTTGGAGTAGAAGTGGCAGTTACATTTAACTATTTCAGCAGGAAAAACGGTGGGACCTAGGTGCTAGTCTAGTAGCACATTTAAATTCATGTAGTGGGGTTACCCAGGAAAAAAAAGCTTCTCAGAGCAGTTATCATGAAAATATTTATAGAAAAGACAGAGGAAAGCCACTGTTATTCTCAGTGCTGTTTTTTTCTGAACATCTTCAACCAATAATTTAGCTATTTTCAGGTGGTCAGGGGGAGTAATTTTCTGGGGTAATAAGGAATAATGATATATTTTCTTTACAATCTGTGTTGTGTGCGAAGCATGGTGACAGTAATTTTCTTTTTAGTAGAGTTTTGCTTAGTTTTCAAACTAAGTCAAAACATTAAATTATAGTCTGGTGGTTATGAGAACAAAAGAAAAAACAGCAGCCATGATCTCCTAATTGTTGGTCATATTGTTTTTTATATATATATATATATATATATATATATATATATAAAACAATATGACCAACAATTAGGGTATATATATATATATATATATATAGATAGATATAATGCGTTCAGCAGAGGAGGGCGTATTCAGCAAGAAATCGAAAATTGTTTTTTCACTGCAAATTATTCATTATATTATATCCAAGTATTTTACAAAAAATTAGAGCCAATATTTCAAGTTCAATTTAGGTTTATAGTTTCTAACCATGTAATTAGATGAGATAACATGACCTGTAGATTTGCCAGCCGAATATCATTACCCTATTATCACATAATTATAGTGAATATTTTTTGTCAAAGGCATTTTATTTTTGATCGTATACTAAATTTAAAATATTCCTTTTTACAGGTTTTATTAATTTAAAATAATTCCTTTTTACAGTCTTATTTTTGTCCTTGACACATGGCACAGTGGATAAAGGCGTCCTTGACACATGGCACGTAGAACTAGAACAGTCTACCCCAGTGAGCAAAATAAAGGGTTCAGTTCAACATTCCAACCACCTGATGAAGGCCGGAGTGTACAACGACCGAAATGTTGTGATAAATATGGCAACAAAGATGATGACAATAGTCCGAATAATGTAAATAGTGCACTTAGAGTTTGTATAAAAAAAAACAAAAAAAAAAAACACATTTTACAAGAGTTATTTTTTACTTGTCAATGAACTTCATTCTTTGGTGTATACTAATTACATAAACTGAATATTATACTGCTAAAATATCTGATCAAAATTTAGTTTAAAACTTTGTCCATTAAACGGATAAACTTATCACCTAGAAACATTTTTTATTTACAACTTAAATACGTATTACCAAAAATAGAAGAGAACAAACTAAAATTTAATTATCTATTAACTAAAAAAAAAAAAAAAAAAAAATCACATAGGTTGTTGGAAGTATACTATATTTATATTTATGAATATATTTGATCACAAATTCTGCCAAAAATGAAAAAAGTGGTGGGAGTGTTTTTTCTTTGGGCCATTAATTGATGAATCAGGAAATCATGAGAAGGTGAGATTTCCTGGTAAAAAAAAAAAAAAAAAAAAAAAAAAAAAAGAGTTTCTCCCTTCAAAATTCTTCAGTGAGATTTTTCAACTCAGAGGACATGAGTCTGCAATGATAGGATTGGAAAGTTCTCTCACTCACATCCTCTCTGTCGATGAGAAGTAATCAGCAAAATTTGCCTAGTGGGGACAATAAAAATAACCAATACAGGTCATATGCATACAACAAAGAAAATTTACTTCTGGTGAAAAGATAGCTGATTTGACTTTCAGTATGAAACAGAGACAGTGGTGTTGTGGAATCGTGGATTCCACCCTATTGCGTGCGTGTGTGCGCGCATATTGCACCCCTTCCTTTCATGTTTGGTTAGATATAGCAGTAAACCGCTGACGTGAGGAAGGTTGCTGGCTAGCTACTCCTGATACCGTCTAGAATCAGAATTTGAAATTTTCCCACGCATTTCTCTTACGTCACTGACAAACTTCGTTTTTCAAGTCAGTCGCCGCCTGATTTTCAAACTAGAAGGTTGACTCATTTTTTCCGTGCCCTTAACCCATACGCGGGCCGGAATATCTTAACTAACCAAAACTTCAACATGTCGTGTGATTACAACTTCTCTTCAAACAACTTGTTTGTACCTTCTTCCGTTTTTCTACTAGAAAACGTTGAGTATCGACAGTCGACATCACACTTTTCCAAGACCAATTCCTCGTCTTGAAGTGAACAACATGTTTGAATCTACTTCATTTTCTACCAGAATCTACGACACTGTCGTCATCATACTTTTCCGAGACCAATTCCTTGTCTTGATGCGAACAATGCAGAATTTTCTTCACTGAAGATTGATGAACTTTTCATACACCTCTCTCGATTTATAACCTTTTAGTAAACCAGCACTGCATGCTACCGGGCCCGCAACAGTGTATTGGCATGACAGCAGTGAAGACTAATGCAGTGACACAACTGATATGACCCACTATAGAAAGATGACCAGTCAGCAAACACCAGATTGAGCCACATATGATGATTTTATGGCGTCACTGTTAAAAGTTTCCCAAAAATATTAAGTATATGTACATAGGTAAAAGTTACAAATAATCGTGTAAAATTCAAACTTACTTTTTCCGTTGACCAAGAATGACATTAATATTATCTTGAAGCTGTTCCCATGTTCCAGACTTTTTACAGCTATTACAAAAAAAGTTTCCTAAACAGAATAAAAAAAAAAGGACAAATTTGACATTTATTTTAATGTTAACAAAGATTTAAATCCAAGAATGTTTTTAAATATAAAATCTTATTTCTTTTTAATTCTTGCATATGAGAAATACAAGAGTGGGCTGAAAAGTTCATAGGTTGACTATGAACGAGTGATGCTAGAACTGTGAAATCTTGCATGCATTAATTTTAACTCTTTTTATTCATAACTGCATTGTTTTGTTCAGGTTAAACTGACATCTGACTGTTCAAAGAAGACTTTATTCTGTTGATCAAAACTACATCAACAGCAGATATGTCATCATCTTCAGTGCAATTCTCAGCCAAGTGTTTTTTCATATTGGGGAACATATTATAATTAAATCAGGAGAATAGGGTGATTGATCAGGCAGTTCAAAATCACCGCCATGCAGAAGTCATTGAAATCAAGAACTGGTGTGCTGCAGAATTGTCATGACCAAGCAAGTCTGCTTTTATCAGTTTTCCTGAGCGTTTGGCCATAATAGCCTTTTACAACTGCCTCATAGCATTCTCCATTGTGACTCTTTTGAAGATAGTCTAAAAAAACTGATGCCATCACCTTCTGAAATCTTGGCTTTCCTTGAAGCAGGTGAGGAGATGCATTTTCACTGCATGGAGTGTCCCTGGATCAAAGTGATGAACCCAACACTCTGGATTAGGAAATATTCAAGGAAACCAGCTGGATCTGTTTCAAACCATGTCAGATTTCCCCTGAAGATGTGATCAGCCTGGTGCACTTTTGATCAGTTGTCAGAAGACATGGCACCAACCAAACAGAAACCTTAATCATTCCACATTTATTGTGTAGAATATTCTCAATCTTAACCTGTTCAAGTCTGGGGTTAACCATTATCTCCCCTTCCTATTAATGTAAACTGCCTCTTAACATAACCCTCTACCATGAGTGGCCCTTGGGCCCTGTATATGGTGGAGCTTACAGTAAAGAAAAAAATTTTTTTTAAATGTTCACAATTTATTATAAGAAATGAAAGAACAGAATACTTTTAAAAATTGTCACAAGTGCATGGAGGATAATAAAAATAAATACTTTTTATTAATTGAAATTAATTTCCCTGAAAACTAATCTAATGCATTGTATACATGGACAGCTTTATCACTAATATAATAATAATGACCAGCTACTCATTTCAGAGCACATCTATCTGCTTGAGTGACAAGCCAATACATCTTACAGATGGCTGCTCTTTTGTATTTGTTCAACACCCACAGAATTCATCTCTAGTTTGTACTGCAACTATAAAGAGCGAACCGTGAAGTTTCTGGGAAAGAGTAGATGATTTAGTATGATTACCAGTTTGAACAAGGTCAGTACAATCAAACCTTTGGTCATGATGACTTGTGATTTCATGACAGATTCTTAATAGTTTCATCTACCCAATTTCACTCACAAGGCTTGGGTCATGTTATGGTTTTAAGGTAATTCCCAATGGTATCCTTAAGTTGACATCAAGAATACACCTGCTTGACTAAATGAACAGGGGGGAGATTTTAACTTGGGTCTGATTGCTAGAATTCTAACCACTTGGCCACAATACCATTATATTTAACGCCCCCCCCCCACCCCACCCCACCAACACTATGTGGCACAAGGTCGAGTTTATCGTGGGTTCTCAGAGCCTGTAGGCTTGGCCAAAATATTCCCTTTGAACCCGTATAAATGGGTTCAGGGCCTGTCTACCTCCCCGGACAAAAGTTTGCAGCACCTCGTCTGGGTTCCTATCTACTGAGGCGGAGAGTTTGACAGTAACAAACGGTCTACATCACCACAATACCATAAAGGGTAAAAATTAAAGAAATGATCAGTGCTGGTTATTGACTTATATATAATAGCTATATAGCCTCTATATATGCAGAATTACTATATCTGTTCAAAGACATTCTTATTTGATTGAAGACAACAAAACTTTCTAAGTTGGAATTGGTATCTGAGGAGTAGCAATAACTGTTGCCTGTTTCTTAACTGGAAAAACAAAAACTGAAAGACTGAGGCATAATCAACTTACCTGATTTCATATTGATATAAAGACATTTAGTTAAATCTTTCACTTGGCCATGTTTGGGGCAGGCTGTCACAATGTTTGTATAATATTTCTCATAAGCTATGTGTCTAGATATCAAGAATTTCATTATGGCTGCAGTCCCAACCAAAACATTATCATTTGTGTTTGCCTGACGATAACAGGATGTGTGAAAATAACGGTGAAGGAAGAATCCGTTCCTGGGTGTTCCTGATGAAACTACACATTTCTTGGATGATTCTAAGTTTGGAAACCGTCTTTTGAATAGATGAAGAATGTTTTGTGGAGATGCAATAGAGTGCTCTTCGCAAACCGTCATTGTCAACAATAACAATTTTGTTGGATTCATTACAAATAAATGAGAAAAGATATATAATAATTACAACATGAGGTTGCAATGAAATAGTTTGTACACAGCTGGACAGGTCCACTTTTGGTACCACGCTGAATTTCATATCCAGATGTTGGCAAAGGATTTTTGAACAATGACATGAAAAATAACATATCCTGTTTTATTTGAACATTGTTACAGGAACTCCATAAAGATCAGCAAGAATATCAAACCTGAAATTTGAAAACAAAAATAAAAATCAGAAGCAACAAATGAAAAAGTAAAATATTTTAAAAATTTATGCAAAGATTATTTTGAGGCAAAAGATGTGAAAACTTGATAATATTAAGAATAATGTAGCAAAAATAGCATATAAGGAGCTAATGCAGCAAAAAAAAAAAAAAATGCCAAAAAAACTCCATATTGTTGCTGCAAGGAGACAAAAGCCCAATTTTGCTTGGCCATACACATTCCAACAGAGAAGTCCCTGACTAACACCAAATATTCCTAATTGTGAAACACATCAAATGATAATGACAAGATAATCATCACCGAAGGCAGATATAAGGTCATCCCAACAAAAACTCAATAAGAAGATAGCGAAAGCAAGAAAACTTAGTTTAATGATATTTTATTTGGTTAAAACCCAGAGCAATGTCAAATTCAATGACTAAGTTCAAATGAAGAATATCATTAATTCCAAAGAGTGTCAGTCAAAGAATAAGTTTTGTGGTTCAATATCAAATTCTATGTGGTATTAATCTGTAAGACAGTTTCTTGAACCAGTATCAAACTTAGCAGCGTATTCAATAAAAATTTCAAATTAATTTCCAGGCATCATGATTAATATCTCAAATGTCCCTGATTTTTAAGAATAATTTACAAAATCCATTACACCTCTCTAATTTGTCCCTGACCAGTGGCCATACTGCAATTGATGGTTTGCCACCATCAAAGTTATCCAGCTGCTTAGTAGCTGGTTGTAGTACCATAATAGTTTAATGGCTCTGAAAACTATCAAAGCAAACCATTTCTGGTGATCAGAGGACATATTTTACATTTTTCTTGAAGTGAGCATTATTTTAGAAAAGTTCAGTGTTTGCAATAAACTTAAGAAACATTCAGTTTTGATTCAAGAAACTTTCAGTGGTTGTGTTGGACTTATGGTGTATCAATAGTACTTACAATAAAATATTTTGGCATATGACCAGGAAATGGGGAAAGGTTAGAACACGTATTGATCTCCATATTTGACAGCTCATCACAATCAGTTTGTAGTCAAGTAAATTTAAGAGGATGAGCAAATGTGTGATCAGTGTGCAGTGAAGCTGATCAAGCCTGTTCAGCTATTGCATCTGATACGTGTAGAATGTGTTATCTATCAATATGTACTAAACAAGTATCATACATGAAACAAAAAAATGCCCCACATTCTGCATTTGTAACAGACTCTTGTGGCACCTGAACATTTCATATCATATTGTATTAAAGTGAGTCTGTGAATGCATAATTTGATGATCTGTGAAATCTTATATTGGAAACAAAACCAATGAATTTATATGGAAAAGTGTTGAGTTTTGTGGGCCACAAGGAGCCTCTTCTGGTCACTGTCAAATGAAGTAAAATGGTGTGGTTTGGACACATTACATATGGCACAACAGACTGTTCAAGAGCATCATACAAGGCACCATTGAATGTGGAAGTAGAAAAGGACACCACCGTAAAAACTGGGTGGACAATGTCAAATAATAGATAAGTCTGACTATACCAGAATTGCTGATGGCTGCCATTAATAGACCGTTGTGGAGGAGATTTAATGTGGCTTCTGCATTCAGATCTCCTCTATGATTACAAAATTCAAGGGTATGATGACAAAATCTTGCAGTACTATTTGTAGGAATGTCTGAATGCATCTTGTATATTTTTAGTAGTGTCAAACATGATTCATGCTACTACAAGAATGGATGAAATAACGACAGATCAAATATTGGCCAATCCAGACAGTAATAGAAAATGACAGTAAATGTACTGTTGGTGATAGTTTATTGACGATGCAATCAAGTACAGATGTATCGCTTGGTAGAGGACAAAGCAGCAGATTAACATGTTGTAAGCATAGTGGCACAAATGACTATGCAAGAGACTACATGTGCCAAGACACAAAGGCAAATAGTTGTCCCTAAAGTGAACTAATACAATGATGAGTGTGATAATTCCAATGCAAGAAAGCAGGCCATGTCTTATCAGAGAACCAGAAGAATGTGACAAGGGAAAAGGTGTCCATGCCAGAACAAATATAAGCTTGGTACTATCTGTAATCAACAGAACACTGCATTGCACTAGTCAACTTGGGTTGCTCCAGGTCAATATAGAGAAGGGACATGTGCCAATCATGGAAGAGATTCTCTGTGTACATAAGCATTCAAAGCAAGACCAGTGCATGTAGACTTTGGGTTGTCAATTATGGAATGCTTGGTGGCAACTCTGTTGATGCATTGGGGTATTATAATGTATTCAGGGTTGCATCCTGGTCACAGCACCAAGTATGATGCTGTTCTGGGTCCAGTCTGCTTCGGTCACCAGATATGACGGTACTCAGGGTCAATCCTGGTCTGCCCGCTTGGTTAGGATCGATCCTGGTATCAGAGAACAGGCCGCCAGCCCACTCGTCGGTCGTTGATGGCATTGACCTCTTCAACTGTGACCTCTCTTACCCATGTTGTGATTTTGATTTTCAGAGGGGCAAGCCGAATTTCCACTGGGGTATCTTAACCACACTAAAATAAACAAGGAGTTTATATCAGAATAACAAAAATATTTACAGTTCTTTCTTTTTTTCCCAATCCATTCTATTAACTGGCGATGGAACAAAAACTGCGGGTAACTTCTATGAAGAATCTTCAAGTAGTATGATTTGTACTTTCACGGATGGCACAAGGTTTATCGTCAGAGTTTTTCTTCTGCAACAAATTGTTTTAACTCCAAGTACTGTTGATTGTACTTTCACAGACAGCACAAGGATTTCGTTGGAGTTTTTCTTCTTCAGCTGATAATTATTATTATTATCATTAGGTTGGCAAGCAGTGTTACATCAGAAATCTCTTTCTAGTCGCAACGTCACTGTGACTGCAATGGCAACTGGCTAGCTCCAACTAACTTTGACCCACATGGGCACTTATATTTATGGGTGTTCTTTTCAACTGGTGTGGTGCGGGCGAATAGGTGAATTTTATGCAAATTTCCCAAAATTCAGTCATTTTCTATTTCACATTTCCAATTGAGGAAAATACCCTCCTCCTTCGGGAGGAGCCATCATATGATGTCAGCCTTTCTGACGTCATCTCGTGCCTTTATTGTGTTTACAATTATAATTTTTTCTCATGGAAATTTTCTTTCTCAGGGAAATTTTGGTTGACAGGCCTCTCAACACGTAGTCAAGCCGGACATCTTTCAACAGTCAACCTTAACCTCTGGCCTCTGATCCTGCACCTGTTCACTGAATCACATTGTGTAACTTTTTCAACAAAATTCATACATCTATTCCCATATCCTGGGAAAATAATTCTCTTTCTGACAAAAAACTAAAATTGTTTTGTTTTAACCCTTTTCGTCTGTATACCATGTTAAATATTGTTTCATTATAAGAAAAAGCTATGAAAAGTTATTGTTTTGGCTCAGTATGAATGCCATGAGAGTCCTGGGTGTAGTAAAGTCCATGCAGAATCAGATCCAGTGTAATTTCTAGGCAGCAAACCACCCCCAAATGTTGCAGCAGAAGTTTAACGCATCCTTATTGCACCTGATGAAGGCATACCAGCAAGTGCACATTTACAGGTCAAACTATACTCCCGAAGAGGCAGACGACTGCATCAAACAATTGGGGTTTTATATCAATATAGTTCAGCTGATAACATGATTGATCAGGTACTCAGTGATGCCCCAAGATGAGTCAATCTGGAATATCATATTGGCATTTCTTCTTCTTCTATACGCTTTGACCCTTCATGAGTCTCACTGACTTAGCAATGTTGTTTTGATATCTTTAATCTCCATTTTTGCCAACCATATATACAAGCTTGTTAGGTAGGGTAGTCGCTGCTTTCCTGTCCCCTCTTGCCATCAGTATGTCCTGTGAGTGTCAAATTTTCTAAACCCTCTTCCCTCATTATGTGACCTTGAAGTTTCAGCTGTCTCTTTCTGATCTGAAGTATAAGTGTCTTTTGTTTCTGTTTTCCCTAAAATCTCGTCATTACTCACATGTTCAGTCCAGAATATTTTCGGTATCATTTTGTAGACCCACATTTACCCAGAAATAATGTCTCAAATTTGGTACATCCACTAATCCAGATTATTTTATGAGGTTCAACTAAAGGTCACTGATACAGGATTCTAATCAAGAACCATAACAATGCATGGTGCATAGAGGGTTCAAGACAATGTGTGAGTAAAAACACTCAACCATTGGTGCATTTCCAAATTCAAAATAGGGGAAGTAACCAAAATTGTCAGTTCACAATTTGTTCTAATCAATAATATTTTCAAGTATCCTCTTTATAATGAGAAAGTGTAAAATCAATCCCTGGCAGTCATAGAGTTATGAGAAATTCACACTTTGTTTACTATTGTCAAGTTTGAAACTGTGCTTGTCACTGATATCTGTGTATGGATACAGACTTGATTTTTTATTTACAAAAATATTTCATTTCAAATAAAGAATATATATATATATATATATATATATATATATATATATATATATATATAAAAATTTGAAAGAA